GCTGTGTTCCTGGCAGCTCTTGGAGCAGCAGCCACTGGTGAGTTTAATATTAATACATCATATAATTGGAAGTACAGACCTGCCGAAATGTCCACATTTTGTAAGATTTTTAAGAAATATGATGTCAATTAAAATTAATACATATGTTAATTGGGCATTGGAATCTCCCTGCGTTTACTTTTACTCCAACTAGAAGAATAGTTTTAATTTGAATTTGTATGGTAGAAGTCTGTATTATTTATTAATTATTACAGATTTTCAATTATTAAAGTTAAATTGAATTACGTATTGGCATATTTGAATTGCAAAGTAACGTAAACGTGTATGAACGTATTGCCATGGACATTATTTTTAAAATTTCTGTCAAGAGGCTTTCGTGATTATTCCGTTGTGGTTCTCTTGTTTCGGTTTAAATTAATGTGGGAGCTGTAATTTTCACCTAGCATCTGGCCTACAGAATATACCTTAATTTTAGAGAATGACGCATATCTGAATTGTTTCGAAGTGTAGTCTGCTCCTACGGCGTAGATGCCAGTAAGATCGCCTCTGGTTATATCTCATTATTACTGCATTCCTGTCTTCGCCTCCAGAAATTTAATGGAACAGAAAATGTCTTTGTATTACTAAGGTCGTGAAACAGAAAAGGATAGGAGATTCTGAAAACGGAGCCTATCTATTTCCAACCAAGCATCCTTTATGAAAATGTAGGATAATTAAAACTAATTTGCCAATTAAAGTTCCGTTTTATGTGGATGAAACTTCTTTTATGCTTGTTATTAAAATGAAGATAGAGTAATTCTAGGCCCTGTATTATACTCCGTGTCATAACACTGCTCGCTTTTTATTAGAATGTTAGAACTTGCAAGTTGCTTTCAAAATCATGGTCACTTTGCGTAAAGCTTGTGAATTTCATGAGATTCAGTATTGTCATTATCTGTTTTATCGTTTTCTGAATGTGTGATGGAATCTTTTAATACATCTATTGAATCGTCCTTATAATTCATTATCTTTTCCCTTATTTCCTTGATTTACACAAGAGCCCGCCATTGGTCTATTCCTTCAGCCATATGACCCATTGTGTTCTCTCGCATTCTGTTTCTTTAAGATCCGTTTTAATATTATCCCTCCATTTACTCCTATGTTTCCCAAGTGTCTGCTACCCTAGGTGTTTCCACTAGAATTACATTTGTCTTCTGTCCTGTGAATGATATGCACAGTCCAAAAATCCTCCAAGAAGTAGCTACTGAGGAAACCCAAAAGTTGTTACTAGGAAAATTAAATTAAATCGTCCTCGGTTTCCACAGTGAAGTTCATCATGTGAACCGCTGTAGTTGTGTTTATGAAATGTAAATAATTAAGTACAGGACTCGTTCGTGTAGTTAGAAATCTTTTATCTTATTTGGAAAGTTCCAGATTGAGTTCTTGGAGAATCGTGATGAAGTTTCTCATGATTTTCCTCAATATTTCTAGAACATAATTGGAGTAATACCATATATTGAAACAATTTCTGTCCACATCTCTAATAATTTATCACCCTGCCATTTTTACATATTGTTATGTAAATTATGGAAATTAAATAAAACAATTAATTATCGTTGCGGAATGCAATTCAGTTATGCAGGGAATACATTAACATTTGCTCATAAACTAGCACACTGTTGACTGTCAAGCTATCACATCTTCAGTATTCCGTACTGTGTGATCAAGCAGGCAATTCAAATGCCAAACATAGTTTCATGTATAATCCTCTAAACGTTTTAATCTGCCAACTCTCTGAAATTAATAACATGACTGTCTCCCAGAGAGATTATATTGAATATGGGATATAAGCTGCATGTTAGACGCAGGGTAGGACGTCGCTGTTGACGAGGGGCTGGCGGGGAATGTCAAAAGCATGCCTGGCGAGCCTTTTGGGTTTCATCGCGTTCCCGATGGCTCTTTCTTCACATTCCGATGGCCTCTGCAGACGTCTGTTTATTCCGCATCTCAAATTTCCATATAGGATACCCATGGCCTCTAGTAATGATATTTAAACAGTTCTGTCTGGATTAAACCCATTGATATTAAATAGTTTTGTTATGCGGAAGTAATTTTAATGTAATTGTTCATTTATATTTTCTAAATGATGTGCATGAAATGCTGCTTCGAATTTGGTCGCATAACACGCTTTTCTCTTGGCTTTATCAAGGTTTCCTACTCGATTTTGTCGCTAAAACTTCGCGTTTTTCAGTGCTGTCAAAGTCTGTGGTATCTGCTTTATTAGCTCGGATATTTTAGCGTTGTCTTCGCCTTCATTGAAGAGGCGGGACTCTTACTGCCCATCACATGCACTGACCATATGCAAGTCTTCATGTCCGTGAAGTAAATAAATAAATAAATTATTAATAATAACAAATAACTTGTTACCTTCATTCATAGTGTTTATTTTATTGCTATTATTAACATCATATTGGCTTATCTGTCTATTTAACGACACTTTCAGTAGCTCGGATTATTTGCGTCGGATGGTGGAATAATTAATGAGTAATGAAATCGAGTTAACGACGAGAGTTTGACATCTTTGTAATAGGCGTACAGAAAATATCCCTGAAACAAAGGGTTACAATTGGGTTAAGTAGAATGTTTGCTGGAAGGTCTTCTGGCATTGGAGACAGCTTGAGACGCAATTGGATCATCTACTCAAGCACTCTGTCCGTGCAGTTACGATTCTTCAAAATGGATTTGAGATTTGAAAGGAGCGGGAGTTATTGGATTCAATTGTGAAGCTGCAATTGTCACAGGATGATACACTGATGCGTTTCCTCTCCCACCAACCAGCTCAGCGTTTCTAGAACATTGCGTAAACCGTTATATATATTTGGAAATGAGCTGAACACCAGAACACGTTTGAATCACTTCAGCAAAAGGTAAAGTAATCTCAGACCACATCGCTTCTTTGTGAGTGTGTGTTTGAATACAGCATCCGCAGTGTGGTAAATCCTTTGGATCCCCGATCTGTCCTGCTCTCATCGTGACTGTGGGGATGCATTTCAACGTACGTGGGGATGATTATGGTTCCCTGTGTCTAAATAATTAGGTGTTCGGAACTGTAATGAAGTGACTGGACACGTAACGAGCAAACACAAGCCTCTGCTTACAGTGTAGGGTCACCCTCGTGTACTGAGTGCACATTCGCAGTGCAAAGAGAGTTTTGCAACACTTAACTTTGTTTTTAGTTTGAGACACTTGTTTTACGGAATGTGAATACTAATTTGCAAATGTCTTAGCCTGGGAAGGTATTATTATTATTATTATTATTAAGTGTTCTGTCTTACGACAGGTCCATTGCTCTGCCCAAAAAGAGCTCTCCAGTTGTCCCTATTCTCGGCTTCTCGCTTTAATTCCTGGAACGTCATCTTCTTTCCTTGTTTAAGGTCGTCGGTTAGCTGTATCAATCTTTAAGTATTAGATCTTTATAAATACAGAGTGTCCTAATAAGATGCATTACGTATATGAACAATGTTCATACATCTTTTTGGACGCCTGTGTGATTTTCAATCCTTGTTCCGTTGTCCGCCAGAATATCTTGCTTACAGATACCAATGAAAACAAAGTGGTTTCTGCTTTGGTGCATTAGACAGCAGTGACATGTTTTGGGTATTGTGCCGTTTAAGAAACTTAATTAAGCCGGTTTGAGGATCTAATGGTGGGTAAGTTGTCAGTAATGTTCTTCTGGATTGTCGTGTCATGTAGTCTTGTGAGTTGTGTTACAAACGTTTCGTAGGAACGTAATATCTCCATCTTGAGGACTAAGACGCTGCGCGTACGAGCGGTTTGGGCCACAGGGGGACTACCTTAAAATAGGCCATGCCCTCTTCCGTCCACTTTATAATTCCGTCATCCTACCATTTGTCAATAGCCTATAGTTCTACAGTTTATAAAGCGTTGTTTAATATGCTAAGAAACACCTTAATTTTAAACACTGAACTGAACAAATGATAGAGATATACAAACTTTGCGTTGAACAGTCAGGACTGCTTTTCGGAAATGCTATGAAAAAGGAACAACTGCTTGCGTTTAGTCCATTCTTTTAGCTGATCGACTAAGTATTTTTGCCATTGCTGAAAAAACTAGAGGAAACAGCGGCTCGCAGAGAAAATGACATTAGAATGAATATGAATTTAATAACCGTTCATTTATCGCCGACGTCGAAATATTCCGGAACACATTCCGCCGCCCTGACAATGAAGGCTTCAGTTTGAATGCCTCTATTGTAGTCACGCGACTGCTCTGCAACATCATCTTGACATCGACAGGAAGGGCGCCAAATAACGCAACTGGCATTTTGGCAGAGCACCAAAATGGCTAACACCTCTTCACTCACAACCCGTTCTTTCACCACCACCACCACCACCCCCCTTCACCTCCTCTTCTTCTTCCCATTTATCTCTCTTCACAGGCAAGAATTAAAGCTTAGTAATAAATGGACGCCATAGTTTGTGTACGTAGAGGCTTCAGCAGAAGTGTTGGTAATTGGTTGGGCGAATTATCTGCCTCTTCCCAGCCGGATGCCACCAATTTCTCCAGTCTTTATACGATAGAGATCATGGTTCCTTTTACACTCAAGTGGAATTTAGCGTTTAAACGGCTTTATAAATTAGTGTTTAGTATAAACATGTATATTTGTTTAATTTTGGCTGTTAAAGATTACATGTAATTTCTCTTTCTTGAGTAGGAATGCGGTGTTTTCATCTGCTTAATATTATATGAACAGGCAAGCGATTTCTTTTCTTTGTCTGTTACGCCGAGGGATTATCGTATTCTGGAATTCCATAAAATTTAAGGAATTGCAGTGACTTTGTTTCCACGTAGTCATGTTGTAATCTGTTCGCTGGTACAGATGTAAAAACCTATTTATTTCCAAATTCCTGTGCGTTGTACTCATAAAATTAAAGTAATTGAATTCGTTTGCTTTGTCTTTCGCATTTAGGGTCAGATTTGTTGTGTCGCCTGTATTACGTCGTGAGTCTTTCACTGATTTCATGATTTTTTAAAGGC